AAATTACAATTTCGGAGCTCTAACTCATTCTTCCACGGTGGACATATGTGACATCAAAAACACTCACCTTCATTGATCTTTTTTTCTTGTTTTAGCGCAATACACTTGAAAATTTGTAACAATATAAAACTCACCATTCCCTAAAGTCGTATGTTTTTCGTTTTTCAGATTTTTGCATTTTTGGCGGAAAAATAAGGTCACAAAATTCCCGCCAAATTTTGTTTTTATTATTATACGACATCTAATGATTTTTTTTTTAATGATGGTGTCTCTAAGAACTCACCACAAGGATGTCAAAAGTGAAAAACTTTTTGAAATATGCTTATCCACTCAAAAGATATAGCGTTCTGAGAGTTCAATTTTCCGCCATTTTGTTAATAAAAATAGCAGAAAATGGCGGGAAATTCAAATTTCAAAACGCTAAATCTTTTGAGTGATAGGCATATTTCAAAAATTGTTTGGGAATTCCCAAACAAAATAACCCAATCGCCCACCTACACCACCTTTATTTTATAAGGTAAATGGACAGCTCCGAAATATAATTTTACGCCATGAAGGCCAGTTATAAGACACGATAGTCCTCGGTGGCAGCAAATTTACAAACTGTAATTTATCTCTCTGATTAAAGGAAAGGCCAAAATGAAAAACCAGGCCGAATTTTTGTGCTCGTTACATGTTTACTTTACAAAATCATGCCAACAAATCTGTCAGCGTGTATACTTCCTTCATCACATCATCAGCTTTTCACAATATAATCGTACAAGACAATATTAAGGACGATCGAAGCACGTGCTTCCCTTGCACGGGAAATCAAAATTGGCGAGGACGAACGGATGGACGGACGGACGGCGCGCGGGTGGGCGTACGGTCACGTGAATACCAAATTTTCTCTGATGGATAGATAAAAAATTTTTCTTAGCTATGGGGCTACGCTTACAAGCGGTTCCAGAGCGCGTGGAGCTCCGCTGTAATATTTTATTATATTATTTGAACATCGGTTTGTATGTCCTTGTAGTTACCCAAGGAGCAGCGACTGGAAAATGCCCCATCGTGTCAATTTCTAAACGATGTCATATTGGACTAGCGCATACTTGTAATAACGACGAGGAATGTCCAAACGGCACATACTGCTGTTTTGACGGCTGCAGAAGGAAATGCCGGGATCCCAGTCGTGGATCTGCTGGAGCACAAGGTAAAAACACGGCGAATTAAACCACGCAAATGTCTTAAGACGGGCATCATGGTTGGGATCATTCTAAGATGCTGGGCAAAGTCCCTTATATAAATCTTACAATTAAAATTATATAAAATTGCTCTATATAACTTAATCCTTAAAGTTTTCACTTTAAGACTCCTTAAAATTCTTTCCAAGATGATAACAACACAAAATGTCGCCGAAGGATTTGAAAGATTTATATAAGGGACTTTACCCAGCATCTTACAATGATCCCATGGTTGGTTAGTGCGAGATATAGAGAGTACGGATCCCAAGTCAGGTTCTCACTGGTCACCTCAAATTGGCCTGTTTCGACTTTATTTTACATTTTCATGTTGCTTCCAGTAGCTAACATACTCGTAAAACGGAGTACTGATGGGGAGAGAGACAGAGAGATATAAGGTTCGTAGGTAAAAGTTTTTGATCTATTAACGAAAAGTTACCCTGCGTAGCAAGCGTTTTCGTGTGGTTTCGGAGCAAATAACGAGCAACGAGAGTCAAAGACTGCAAAAAAATCCCGTTTCGGTTGGTTCCTCGGTCTTTCTTTACTCCGAATCCATACGGAAACGCTTGCTACGCAGGCTAAAAAAAATTTACAATTCTTTACCTTTTGTACCGTCAGATAAAGACTGTTTTGAAGAGACATCATTTCCCAGCCTTGTTTTTCCCTTTTCTTATTTTGTAGATTGCCTCAAAAGCAAAGCTTTCATAGTCCGCCATTTTGAGACATCAGCGCAACTAATAATAAGCCATGATAGATCGAGTGAACAAATCTCTCTCTAACCATCGCTTTTCGTAGCGCACAGAATGTCTAACGAATGTCCTACATTAGGAAATTCTACCTAACTGATTTGCCAGTGTTATCTCTGAGAATATAAAGATTTTTATTATCCAATATTTACAGGAGAGGACAAAAATGGCACGTGTCCATTTCTTGCCCCACCTCAACTATGCGTGTCAGACGTCGACGAATGTTTCATTGATTGGGACTGTGTCGGTAACCGCAAGTGCTGTTCAAATGGATGTTTTAAAATCTGTGCATCACCTTCAGCTGGAGCAGGGGCTTTAGGAATAGGCAACCTTCAGACCGCAGCAGCAGGTATACATAGTTTGCATATTTCGTCAAGATTTGGTCAATTAGAACAAAAATACTCACTTAAATGGAGTANTGGTTCCTCGGTCTTTCTTTACTCCGAATCCTTACGGAAACGCTTGCTACGCAGGCTAAAAAAAATTTACAATTCTTTACCTTTTGTACCGTCAGATAAAGACTGTTTTGAAGAGACATCATTTCCCAGCCTTGTTTTTCCCTTTTCTTATTTTGTAATTTGCCTCAAAAGCAGAGCTTTCATAGTCCGCCATTTTGAGACATCAGCGCAACTAATAATAAGCCATGATAGATGGAGTGAACAAATCTCTCTCTAACCATCGCTTTTCGTAGCGCACAGAATGTCTAACGAATGTCCAACATTAGGAAATTCTACCTAACTGATTTGCCAGTGTTATCTCTGAGAATATAAAGATTTTTATTATCCAATATTTACAGGAGAGGACAAAAATGGCACGTGTCCATTTCTTGCCCCACCTCAACTATGCGTGTCAGACGTCGACGAATGTTTCATTGATTGGGACTGTGTCGGTAACCGCAAGTGCTGTTCAAATGGATGTTTCAAAATCTGTGCATCACCTTCAGCTGGAGCAGGGGCTTTAGGAATAGGCAACCTTCAGTCCGCAGCAGCAGGTATACATAGTTTGCATATTTCGTCAAGATTTGGTCAATTAGAACAAAAATACTCACTTAAATGGAGCAACTGTCTTGAAAAGCTATAGAAGTTTTTGTTGTTATCAGTTGTTTTCGTTAGTTTTTAAATGGTTGCTTTTGAGAGCCATTGTTCCATTCAAGAGGAAACCAAGATAAAAATCTTGGTTGCAAGTTACAAATAAACTTGTAAGGAAGGGAAATGCACCTACCGTATTCGCAATGTATTTCTTTATTCAATATTTGCTGGCTTCCATAAAAGTTAAAGCCAGATTTCATGAAGCAACCTGAGAGTAAGTGCCGCCTTTCTGTCACTATTCTCTTAAATCCAACCATTTTCTCAAGCGGAATCACCGATAACTTGACTGATGAATTCCCGAGTATAATAACACAATAGAAGCAGATAATTATCTAAAGGAGCTTCGTATAATCAGATCCAGTTAACCTTCCTTTTAGAATAACCGGTGTAACAAAACTACACACTGTGTTTGCAGTACAATGTCCCGAACCAGTTGCATATCGCTGCACCTTTTCACTGAAGCATCTGTGTGATGATTCCAGTACATGCTTTACTGGTACCGTTTGTTGCTTCGATGGCTGTCGAAGACGATGTGTTCCTCCCAAAGGTGCAACAGGTACGCACACACTTTTATTTAGAATGGTGACTAAAACCTATCTTAGCCTTCAATGACTTGTCTTTACTAGAGCCCCTCAGTAGCCTTTTTGGAAAGAAAAAATAAGAGATAAACGCTGCTTTGCTTGAACGAAGAAAGCAAGGATTGTTCTCTTTATTTTCGTTGGTGGTTTATCAGGTTAGTTCAAGACCCTTCCTCAAAACAAAAAATCCTTTCCTCAATTTTAAAAACCACGTCCTATTGCATAGTCGGGTAAGTACTTTTGAGTCAAATACATTATTTACATTATCTTTGTGTCGAGTTCCCTTCCAAACCTTCTTCCCCACGCTTTCCTGAGATATTCCTAGGTACCTGATCACAGTCTAAGAATTCCTCAATTTGGTGCAAGGCTAAGTCTATCGCTTACAGTCGACTTTTTAGTGGTCAAAAGACAAAAGATAACGTTTTGGCCCCTAACTCTATGATCTAGAATCTTTTTTTCCTTTTAACCTGCCCGTGGATACCCGAAGGGTATCCAAAGGGTTTTTGTAATGGGTTTTGATACGCAAATCACGTGTCACTCGCTCACTTTGCGTTGACATAGATCGGCTCTTCGGCTCCGACCCGGACTCACTGCCTGGTATGAAAACGACATAGTTCGTTGTTGCCGAAGGTCCCCTGAGTTGTGCATTTACTCAAGCATACTCATGAGAGAACCCTAGGAACGAGGATAACACGCTCACGTTCACTGAGAAAGCGTCAACACTCGCCGTCGTTTTTCTAAAATGCGTAACAAGTATCTCGGCCATAGGCAGTTGAGCGGTTTAGATTTCCAGTAACATGACAAAGGAAGATCGTTGCCCGTAAATCGCGCGTCTAGCGTGGTATAGCCCGTGGTATATTGTTTATTCCCCAAACTTCGCAGTCTCTGGCAGGGGATACTGCAGCGAGGAGTCGAACTATGGATTTCCTTCCAAAAAGTCGCCAAAAAGGCGTTTTACGTTGAAAATCCAGCCATTTATGCCTAGGTTGGGAAAATTCAATGACGGTAAGGCCTTTTATTTCTCGACTAAAATTTCTGTACGCGTCAAATGTCGTGGTCAACTCGAAAATTAATTGACTACTGTTGTTTATGATATTGCTTTTTCTTAATTATTTTTCGCTGAAACGTTTTGTCTGTATTAGTATACGTAGTGTCTACTTCAAAGAAGTGTTAGCTCCTGTTATATACTGCAATTAAATACTCATATTACAATTAGGAATTATAGTTGTCGGTTTAAAACTTTTCGCTTGAAGTGAATCACATACAATTGCACTCTTATCCGGTAATCATCTTAAGCTTGGAAATTTATCAAGGTGTTGAAATGTAAACCTGTACCTCCTATCAGTAGTAAAATTCGGTTGCTTCCCGAGCAGTTCACTTCCTACTACTAGTAGTTGCCTGCCTAGCAGGTAGTTATTTGGCTGGTTGTTTGCTGGTTTTTTTCGTTCGTAGTTCAGATACAACGGCGCGAAAGCTCTGGGGTCAAAGACGTGGGAGGGGGCAAGAGGATTTCTAAACAATGATCCACGGATTCCCAACGGGTTTACTTTGATTCTAATTCTTAATTCTTTTCCTGATTTCTTTAAGGCACTTGTCCCAAACCTCCTGAGAACTTAGTCTGTCCAGTAGGATTGAGAAACACTTGCCTTGACGACAAGTTATGTGTAGAGGGAACCCGCTGCTGCAGCGATGGATGCCGAAAGCGGTGNTTTTTTTCGTTCGTAGTTCAGATACAACGGCGCGAAAGCTCTGGGGTCAAAGACGTGGGAGGGGGCAAGAGGATTTCTAAACAATGATCCACGGATTCCCAACGGGTTTACTTTGATTCTAATTCTTAATTCTTTTCCTGATTTCTTTAAGGCACTTGTCCCAAACCTCCTGAGAACTTAGTCTGTCCAGTAGGATTGAGAAACACTTGCCTTGACGACAAGTTATGTGTAGAGGGAACCCGCTGCTGCAGCGATGGATGCCGAAAGCGGTGTAAGGACCCTGCTCAGTTTGGCAGCGGAGACCTTCAAGGTAAGATAGAGCTGCATCTGTCTAGCCCACCAAATGACAGGACCGCTAAGGACTCTCATACCGGACCTCTTTAAATTCCATGGACTGCGGAAAGACGATGAAAAATGGTTTTTGTGCATTGGAGAGGTAACTGTGGTGCTGCATAAATCTGAGGGTCGCTTGTTTTATCGCTATATTACTTTTTGTGGTAGTTCCTGGACAAGATTGTTTCCTGAGTCTTTCCTTATTGTGACTATTTAGCATCGTATCCGTAATCGCTAAAGCAACAATTACGTGCTCTAAATACCGCAAGGACCTGGGCTGTTCTAAACCGAAATATACTCTGCCAATGTTATAAATGCGATGGAAATAATGGTCAAAGATTAACATATATTCATTAGAATTTAAAACTGTGTCCTCTACTGTTAAAACTTTTGAGCTACCGTGTGCGTTCGTGTGTGCGGCATCGCATGGTCATTTATGTCCAGACGATCATTACTCTCCTAGAACGGTTTTTAACCAAACTGAAAGAACAAAAGTTTTTCTCCATTGAGATTGTATAAGTTTATTCTCCAAGAATTATTTCCATTTTCGTTTTTACTTTACAGGTGTTTAACTTTTACCCAGTCAAGTCGTTATTTCATCATCATCATCATCATCATCATCATCATCATCATCATCATCATCATCATTATCCTCCTCATCATCCTCCTCATCTTTATCGCCATTGTCATTGTCATTATTATCATTAAAGTTGTTTTTGTTTAATTTCTATTGGATATTTTACAAACCCTACAGGTAAACCTCGACCAGGAACCTGTCCTGCTCTTTCCCCACCGTCCGAATTTTGTCCTTCTGATTTTGACGAATGTAAATTTGACTGGGACTGCGATGGAAAAACAAAGAAGTGTTGTTCAAACGGTTGCTACAGAGTTTGCGCTGAACCTGCTGTTGGAGCAATTATAGGTAAGGAGGCCAGAGAGTAACTCACAGAGCTGTCCTTTTCAAAATCAAGCAATTGATTAAAAGAGGTTTCTTCTTTGGAAGAAGTTACCTTCTTTAAGTTTTTTTTTCTTCCAACAAAGAAAAATGAAATTGAAATGCCCTTGTTGTCGCCAGAAAAAATTTCGTCTAATATAATTCATTAATTCTAGCTATTGTATCGTGCAATTATCAGATTAGGCTCAGTGTGATCTGAAGAATGTTACAGATCGAGGAAGATTTTATCCGCTGAGGCCGATAAGGACAAGGCGGATAAAACTCTCCAAAATCTTTAAAATAAATAATTTCCGCCTTCATTTGCGTGTTTCTCGGCACGTTCAGGAGATAACGGTGTGTACTTCTGCAGATACTCTCCAAATAGCAGATGTCGTTCGTCGACTTGTATTCCTCCTGTTCTTGCATTAATTTTAGGTAGTAGTTGGGTAATTTTTTCCGCTCCGCAAAATGTGTGAAACGTTCCTCCATTTTGTACTGCTTTACCAACACAACGTAACCTTGTCCCCAGGGCTTTTCGATTGCAGTCCATTTTCTGGCATTTATGCTGCATATACTTTTGACGTCATTTTCCACAATATCGCAGACATCTTCCAAATTTGGCTAGCTAGTTACGAAAAACGTAGCATTTCAGCTAATCAGAACCGGAGAAAAATTGAAAGTAATAAATTTGCTCACCAATTGGCAGAAGGTTCGTACAAGCTAGGCATGCTTACTATCGCACCTTTAAAGGTTGATATCTCAATGTGGTACTGACTCGCCTTAGAATAACTGAGCTGCTGAAAGGTGGACGTGAATGATCCCTTAATTTATGGCCCAACAGCAACGGCAAATTGAGTTTTAACTGAGAAGCCTCGGGACATAAGCCTTATTCTGTGCCTACAGTATTCAACAATAGTTTCTCCACAGAGCTTTTACATGCCGCTTTCATTAAATATAATCAAATTCTGATGTAGCAAGAAGTTTCTTTAATTTTGAGATTGGAGTTACAGAGCGGTCATTTATTTGTTACTGAAGATTGAAGATTATACCAATTGCTTTGTTCTTTCCAATCCAGATAAATGTCCAGCTCCTACAAAGCCTCCACAACGATGCCATATAGGACTAAAAGGCCAGTGTTCCAATGACACGGACTGCAAATTTATCCCTGGTGGGCTTTGCTGCTTCGACGGCTGCCGCAGAAGATGTGCTACATCTGATGGTTTTCCTTCCGATATAGCAGGTACGTGTTGGGATAGCTCTGATATACACATTTTTTATCCATACATTCAATGGGAAATAGTCGGGATCCCGCAGGATTGCTAACGTAAAATTTTTGCTTAAGCCTACGTCGTTAAGTTTTCGACGCAAATGTTGTTATTCTATCTCTATATACGCTTCTTCTTTCGTCCGCCTGAACGTCTCACTTTCTACGATCACGGAACTACTCCTCTGCGTCCTGGCAGGGGAAGATCCAGAAACTTCAGTACGAGGAGGCCGGGATAGCTATTTTAAGAACTCCGAGAACACCTCTGTCCAAACATTAAGGCTGTAAAAGACAGAGTTTACAAGAAGTTTGATA